TTATATATAACGCGTCCATGGCAATATATAATACAATCGTGTCTATCTTATTATCGTGCTAATATATATACATATACGTGTCTATACCAGTACGAATTCGTAATAGAGCTACAGTACCAATACTGCATGTATAAACAGAGCTATGTGTGTATCTCTCTATGTGGCAGTATATGAGGCTAACATCTTAGCTTCATGTCCCTCTCTATAAGGCAGTGTTGCACTAACACATCCGCTATATGCCCCCCTCTCTCTCTTTCTCNAGGGAGTGTGGATGAGGAGGGTGGGGTGAGGGAGGTGGATTGAGGGAGGTGGGTGAGGGAGGTGGGTGAGGGAGGTGGTGAGGGAGTGGGTGAGGGAGGTGGGTGGAGGGGAGGTGGCGGGTGAGGGGAGGTGGATGAGGGAGGTGGATTGAGGAGGTGGGTGAGGGAGGTGGTGGAGGGAGGTGGGTGGGGAGGTGGTGAGGAGGTGGGTGAGGGAGGTGGGTGAGGGAGGTGGGTGAGGGAGGTGGGTGAGGGAGGTGTGGGGAGGTGGTGAGGGAGGGGTGAGGGGTGGTGAGCGGAGTGGAGTGGGGAGTGGGTGAGGGAGGTGGGTGAGGAGGTGGATGAGGGAGGTGGGTGAGGGAGGTGGGTGAGGGAGGTGGTGAGGGAGGTGGATGAGGGAGGTGGATGGGGAGTGCGCGTGAGGGAGGGTGGATGAGGGAGGTGGGTGAGGGAGTCGGTGGCAACCTACAGCTACAGGTGGTGAGGGAGGTGTGTGAGGGAGGTGGGTGAGAGGTGGGTGAGGGAGGTGGGTGAGGGAGGTGGGTGAGGGAGGTGGGTGAGGGAGGTGGGTGAGGGAGGTGGGTGAGGGAGAGTGATGAGGGGAGGTGGGTGAGGGAGGTGGGTGAGGGAGGTGGGTGAGGGAGGTGGGTGAGGGAGGTGGGTGAGGGAGGTGTGTGAGGGAGGTGGGTGAGGGAGGTGGGTGAGGGAGGTGGGTGAGGGAGGTGGGGCTGGGTGAGGGAGGTGGGTGAGGGAGGTGGGTGAGGGAGGTGGATGAAGGAGTCGGCGGCAACCTACAGCTACAGGTGGGTTGTGTGAGGGGGTGGGTGATGAACATGTCGGTTGGTGTAAGAGAGAGATGAGGAGGAGAGATGAGAGAGAGAGCGGAAGAGAGAGAGAGAGAGACAGGGGAGAGAGAGAAAAGAAAGAAGAGAAAGAAGCAGAGAGAGCCAGACAGACATTGGATGAGACGAGAGAGGAGACAGAGGAGAAGAAAGAAAGAAAGAAAGAAACGAGAGAGGAGAGAGAAAGAAAAGAGGAGAGAGAGAGAGGAGAGAGAGAGAAGAGATGGGAGAGAGAAGAGATGAGAGAGAGACGAGAGGAGGAGAGAGAGAGAGAGAGAGAGAGAGATGTCGAATTAATTCATGTTGTTTTCATATTTATATTATTGGTTATTATTTTCGTTGTATTTAATTTTATAATATCTATATAATGTATTAAAAACTGTGTATTGTATACTAAGCTATGTGTTTGCTCATCACAGCCGGATTCCTATCGGCTTCACGAGAAAGAAAATGGCGGCTACAACGAGCGCTGGACGGACGTGTGTGCGCATGCGCTGCGTGACGGCGAGCTGCAGGAAGCGTCGGCGGCTCTTCGTCTGCTCGATCCGGAGCAGTCGTCGCTGCAGCCCGTCTACGAGCGCCACGGCATGGTGAAGCTCACCAGGTGTCGCTCGAAGCCGACGGCGCTGTACGCGCGCTCGCAAATTGGCTCGCTAGAGGGCGTGCTGATCGCCTTCGCCGTCGCGCTGTTCGTCGTCGGCGTGCTGCTCGTGGCGACGATGTGCTGCATCGCGCGTCGCTTCCGTAAGAAGCTGTCGCGCGACGCCGACGCCGACGACTACAAGACGGAGCCCGTCATCTACCATCCGGCGTCGCTGTACGGAACGCTACCTGTCGGCGGCTTCGTGTACGACCAGCCGACGCCCGCACTGCCCTCTGTCGTGTCGCTGAGCGTCGACGAGCGCATTTACGAGTGGCAAGAGAAGAGCGTCGATTTGAACGACGGCGGTTCGCTGAAGGACTACGACCAGGCTGAACCTGACGACATCGTCCTCTTTCCCTAGTAGAAAGCAAATGGCGGCCACACACACACACACAATGGTGGCCCACCCCCTATAGGAACTAGCGAGGCCGTCAAGGGAGGGGCTCCGTTTACAGAAAGATCATAAATAGTTAGTTATGGCGACTACTTCCGTGTCCAAAATGTCGTAAACGTTATTGTCATGCGACGCATGATCTTTCGTGTGGCTCCAGGAATGAGATAATAGAGGTTAGGTTACTACCTAACTGTACGTGTCACGCCATCTAATGCGCCTGGTTTTACCATAGTCCGAAACGGAATTCTGTAAATATTGATGCGTGTACACGCGCGCGTGCGTGCGCGTGCGTGCGTGTAGGGGGGTAGGGGGCGTAACAGCTCAGTGAGATGTGCAAAAGCTTAGATCTAGTAACCGTAAATCAGTTCTGTAAGTGATAGTCGAGAATCACCGATAGGTAGACGCGTGCGCGGATTGTAATAAAAGTGACAAATAATAAAATGGCGGTTATATATATACGACAAACGCTTGTTCTAGTGTCGAGACGTTAGCTATTTGCGCATCGCATGACGTCACGTCACGTTACATTACATTACATTACAATACATTACATTACGTTATGTTACGTTACATTACATAGCATTACATTACATCGTATGGCGTTTCGTTTCATTCCATTACGTTACGTTACATTACGTTACGTTACGTTACGTTACATTACGTTACGTTACGTTACATTACGTTACGTTAAGTTACGTTTCGTTACGTTACGTTACATTACGTTACGTTACGTTACGTTACATTACGTTACATTACGTTACGTTACGTTACGTTACGTTACGTTACATTACGTTACGTTACGTTACGTTACATTACGTTACGTTACGTTACGTTACATTACGTTACGTTACGTTACGTTACGTTGTACTATTACGTTTACGTTACGTTACGTTACGTTTAACCG